GCTGCCTTTATTGCCAAATAGTGGGCTTGGAATGCTTGGAATTTGATTTATACTATAGTTATATTTATTAGATCCTCACCCTGAACCTTAAAAATATATTAAACAAGTGCATGGCAGTGATAGTAGAGAGGAGAGCTCTAAATACAGATTAGTTACAAATGGAAGTTTGGGTACAAAAATACTATTTTAGAAATTACTGGTTTGTTTTTTATAGAACAAATGACAAAGAAAAGAGTCTAAAACGTTTCTTTTAAAAGGCGTGCGTCATCCTCCACTGAGATTTGACCCCTTGGTTTGTTTTGTGTGTCTCTGTTTTTCTGAGGCAGTAATTCAAGCTGTGGTGTCTGACATGAGCCAAGTACTAAATCTGCATCATAACGTACCAGGATCTTTATTTTTAAAACCAAAGTGCCTGAGAGCGAACCTGTATTACAAGCAGTGTAAGGACTGCAACCTGCTCTGCTGTTATTCTGCTTTTCAAAGCCTGTCATTAAGGTTTGATGGATGGCGTCCAAGGATTGTAGCAGCAACCCGAGCAATCAAATCTTTCCCTTCAGCTCTCCCTGTTGACGTTCTTCAACATCCACTGTCAGTCACCGCTGTGCCTGAGCAATCTTTTTAATATATTTAAACAAAGCAGCGCATCCTCTTTTCCTTCGCCAAACTCCATCGTCTTATTCTAGCCCTGTGGTTTGCTGTGCCCTGCGCTGGATTGAGCTGTTTAAATATTAACCACTTCTGTACGTATGTCAGGGGGTGAGCTCATTGTGCTTTGGAGGAAGCAGACTTTGTAGAAAGCTGACACTGCTGCAGTAAAGTAGTTAGCATCCCATCACAGGCACTTGGTGTGAAGTTTCCATGAGTCTGATTCCACTTCCATGCATGTGTGAGCCTTAACCTTGTAGCTACCACGCTCACAGCTCCAGCTCAGTGAAGCAGACCATCGGGGGACTCGGTCAAGAGGAGGCTCTCTGTTTGATGTGATAAACCGCATCACTTTTTTTCCTCCCTCTACTCCTTCATTTGGTCCGGTGCTCGGCGGTGACGTGCTGAGTTGATTGGCTCTGTGCCTCCAGTCTGTATCTTCACTGATTTACCTTTACAAAGAGAATGTGGGGAAAAACAGCGGACTGAGGTACAGATGCTGCAGGAACTTGAGAGCAAATTAGGGGTGGGTGGGAGGGGGGTTGTAGCTGAAATGGTAGCTAGCCCTGATAAAGAGCAGCCACCTGCAGTGTTACAGAGGGAGAGAGAGAGGGAGTGGGGAAGTGTATGCATTGAAGGGGGGGTAGAGAGAGAGAGAGAGAGAGAGGAAGGGAGGGGAGAGGAATTGCAGGCAGCAGAATTGTGATCAGTCAGGACAATAGGAGGATGTAACTTCTGCATCTGTAGGACTAGGTTATCTGCTCTTTAGCTAGGAGCAGCTAAAAAAATGTTTCTTTTAGACCTCGTCTGTTGCCGGACCGCATCTCTCAGACAATCTTAGCGCTCTCTTGTCTGCAGAGGAGTTAATCCTGGGAGTGAGCTATCACTGAAAGTGCTTTTTGAAGGAGCTGATCGGATTCTTGACTGGATTTCTTTTTTTTCTTTTTTTTCTCCTTGACAAATTTTCAAGCTTATGAAATGTCTGAACGGAACTTTTGACATGGGACCCTCATCTGGAACGTGACTGTTTATGTAGCAGGTTTAAATGATGAGACAGCCGACAAGCAGGAAGGGAAACTTTCAAATCTGTGTTTTATAAAGAAATGTTTATGTTTTCGAATTTAACGCTGTTTACTTTTCTAAGCTGCCAGATTTCACAAGGTAGGAAACGATTGACTCTGTTAGCCTCTGTGTTTGAGGGGTAGTTAATATATTGGGAGGTAACTACCTGTGCAGTGATTGGTTTCTAGTGTGGAGTGTGTATTTGCTTTGAAAGAGAGTTAAAGAATTCCAGTAACATGTTCACTGGAGGAGAGGCACCAATCTGTCTTTGTATACGTTAGTCTGCTCTCAGCTTAGACTGCTGACAGCTGTCAGTATAGTGTTGGTCTGTTATCAATCTCCGCTCATTGCAGTCATGTCACAGGTTTCCTTTAGTCCCTCTGCGTTTTTTGCTTGTCCTGCTGCTTCCGATGTGGACAGTGGCACATCACAGGTAGATTCCTGTTTGGATTGTCTGTGGGGGATTATATCTTAAACAGGTTGGATATGTGAATCTGGGATCCAATTATTTACCAAATACCTGTCTTGGCTACAAGTCTGGATCACTTACACTTGGCTGCAACAAATCTGCTACCCTGGAAGAACTTAAACTAAAGTTATACGCTCCAACCTCTGAGTGTTATTGTAAAGTTAGAGTGTAATTAAAACAGCCCTAATTTTTTTGTTTTTTTTCTTTTTGGGCAGAAAAAGGTACCTCCTGAAATGGGACACTGACTTTTTTCATAATCAGATATGAAATATTCAGTCATATTTGTGAGTTAGGCGAGGCACCGCGCTGTGTGCTAAACAGAAATGTATTTCAGCATTCTCCTGGCTCACTATCATAGCAAAAATATATTCTTTATTTTTTAGATATTATCCATTTTTTTGTGGATTTATCCCTTTTATCTTACCTTCACCCCCGACTCGGGGGTAGTTTAATCTATTTCGAGTGACTGCTGTTCAGCCCCCGCTGTCCCGCGGGAGCTGACGCCTTGTTCACAGAGGACACTGTCTCCCTCACGTTCCTGCTGCTGGTGCGCTCGGCTCTGCTGGCCGAGAATGATGTGGCAATGCCACGTCTCGTCCTCGGAGTGCCGCTGCTACCGGCTGAAAGGTTTCTCACTCCTGAAGCGCTTTCCCCTGTCAGCAGGTGCTGCAGGCCGGCTGCTGGACCAGCCCGTGGGAGACTGGCTGGAGCATGTGGGTCTGCCGCAGTACGAGAGCAAACTACTCCTGAATGGATTTGACGACCTTCACTACATGGTGAGTGCCTCACTTTTTTATTAGTCTTTGTTTCATATTTAATTCTCTCGCATGTTTAGCCGTTTATTTTCAGTTTTTAAATCCTTGAAGACTTTTTTTTTTTTTACCTTTTCCCTGTACTCTAAAGTCACTTTAATTTGTGCTTTTATGCATTAATCATATTAGTGCCATTTAAGTAGGATGATCCTGTTAGCGTCATCTAAAGTTCATTTAGATGTATCCCTGTGATAATAATAATCTTACTTTTTGAAAAATGCTTTTCACATAACTCGGTATCATATTTGCATCATAGGTATTTACATTATTTAGTGCTTGGCTTAACTCAGTGTTTCAACTTTTCCATCTGTTCCGGTGACTCTTGAGCAAAGCATCCACCTTTCAACTTAGCCGACGTAGTCTGAGCTCAGCTCCTGTCAGATAGTTTGCTTGATACTGTTACCTCTGGTTTAGTGTTGAATCAAGGCTGTCCTGGATCCTCACACTCTCAGACGGTTTGTCTCTGGCCTGGGAGGCGATTGTCGTGGCTTCTCGTTAACAGTCAGAGAGCCGGCTGCCAACAAAGCAGCTGATGCCCGACCAGAAGGGAGAAGAATCTTGATGAGTAATGGGGTGCTATTGCCAATCTGACAAGTTTATAGAGCCCACAGTGTGTGATGCCTCTCTGAGTTGGCTCAGTTGCTTTTCTCAGTCCTGAGGTCTGATGAAGGGGCACAGCTGGCAGTCTGAACCGGTGGGAAAGTTGAGAGATAAGCATCCTATT